GTAAAACAGAGCATACAGAAGCAAAGCTGGCAAGAAGAGAGGCTGGAGTGCAGGTGGGGAGGAGTTGGGGTGTCGGTCAAGAAGGGCCAACATCAGCCAGGGAAAGGCATTAGCACCCTGGGTCCTAGGGGGAAGTGAAGAGCTGAGGTGGAGTTCGCAGAAGGAGCTGAAGCAGATGGGAGAGAAGGTGGACAGAAAGAGTTTCATGCTAGGGAGGATCAGGTTTGGGGAGGGCAGGTAGTGTGGTCTCAGAAGAGAATTCACTGAAGGAGCGATCCTAACCTTTCCTGTATATGGATGCCTTTACATTGGATATGTGATTTGTCCCTGAAAGGCTCATGTACTGGAAGCTTGGTGGCCAACATCATGGTATTGAGGAGTGAGGACCTGTAAAAGGTGTACCTGTATGTGGAAGGTGAGAAGGTTATGGGGCTCCACCTTCATGAGTGGGTTAGTGCTGTCTCCCTGAGAGGGGTAGATCTTGCCAAATGGATTAGCTCTCTTGAGAGTGGATTGTTGTCTTAGAATTCATATCTAAAGCAGGCCTGGCTCTCCCAGTATTTTTGCAGGATTCCTCAGCATACTCTCTTGCTTCTGCTCCAGCCATGTTACCTCTCTTTTGCTTGTGCTCTTGCTGTATAACACCATCCGCCATGGTGTAAGACAACCAGAGAGCCCTCACCAGGCACAGGCACAGTTGTCTGGACTTTCCAGCCACTGAAGCTATGAGCCAAATAAACCTACTTTATAAAGCACCCCACCTTGTTTTGTTAAAGCAACATAAAACAGAGTAATTGGAAGAGCCAATTCTTGCCCTTAGCTCCTGCTCCCCTCTCTCTGTTTCCTAACCACCATGCAGTAAGCAGTTCCCCTCCACCCAAACCCCTCTATCATGCTGCATCTGCCTTGGAGCCAGCCAACAATGGACTGAACCTACTGAAACTCTGAGCCAAAATAAAACTGTCCTCCTTTCAGTTGGGCATTTGGTGTTTTGTCCCAGGGATAGGAAAGCTAATTTACCTGGTATGAGCCACCAATGCCACGGGACACAGGCAGATCCAGAGCTTCTGCCATGAACAAAATGTGCTGCTCAGTAGGGAAAAAGCAGAAGACAGTATGGGCCGGCTACCATGTGTGCAAAAAAAAAAAAAAAGCAATAAATTTAAGAACATATACTTACTTTTTTAGGCCTAAAGACACTCTGGGAAGATCTTCAAGAAACAAGTAACAGTAGTTATTTGAAGGGGAGGTGGAGGTGTCTTAGGGAATAATGGATGGAACTTCTGTCTTACCTTTGAATGACAGAATGTATTTGCTATTTGGTAACTAAATAAAGTTAAATTGAAAAAGAAAGATGAAGTAGTCTACCATCCTAATTTTAAATAGTTAACAATGAGACAATGTCCTTCTTTGAGCTGGTATCAGGTAAACCTAAAGCATTACTCTTTTTCTTCCAGGGCCAATTATCAAGTTTCCAGTACTGTTGAATATTTACAGTCTCTGCTATGTTGGAGAACTAGGAGGGAAAAAGTAGGAGTGGGGTGGGTGGTGGAAGGGATCTTAGAGTTTGCAGGGCCTAGCTGTGGCTAGAAATTCAGAGATAGTACTTGGAAGCAAATTAAGCTTGACACAATTCCCCCTTAAATAGTTCATCTCAAAAAAGATTATTACATTTCCTTTTAAGAGATACTCACATAGAATTAAAGCTTGTGTAAGGCTTGTTACAAACACCACCGACATGGGGATTTAACAAAGAGGTAGAGTGCGGGTTTGATACCCAGCAGCACGCATAGGCTCACAAACACAGCTTCTGCAGAGAAGAGATGGTAATAATGTACCACACATCTCAAAAAGCCAGAAGAAAAGATTTTGAAGTTTTTAGTAGTGATAAATGCTTAGAAATAAGTATGTTGAACCTGATTTAAACATTCTGCAAATTGATACCCCATTAATGTGCCTAAATTAAAATTAATTAAAAAGGAATAAAATAAAAATAAAGTGGGTCAATTTAAAGTGTTTCCATTTCAAGAGAACCAAGGGAATCTCCCAGTTAGTGGGAAGCTCTTGTACATTGGAGCATTTAGCAACTCACTTAAGTCAGCAATGAAAGCTTCCCCCGGGCTGTGCCTGACAGATGGTGTCAAGAGTTAGTATTTCCCTTGAAACAGAAGTACCAGAGGCATGTGCTGCTTGGTGATACCTTGGGAGTCACTCAGCAGCTGTGAAATGCCCTCTTGTGTGGCTACAAACAAGGTCAGACTTATCAGTGACCTTTAGTGCAGCTTAGCTCTAGTGTTTCTGGACTTCCTTGGTGAGCCACAGGTGTTCAATCACAGGGACCTTAAAGAGTTCAGTTATCTTCCTGCACATGTGTCATGGCTTTGCAATTAGAATGAATGCTGACAGATGCTATATTTAGCAAAAAAAAAAAAAAAAAAAAAAAAAAAAAAAAAAAAAAAAAAAAATCCCCCAGACAAAATCTCCCTCACTCTACAAAAGGGACTGGTTGGGGAGGGGAGGGGAGGTGGAGGAAAGGGGAGGGATAGGGACAGGAGGAGGTGCCCTGAATCTTGGGCTTTTTGGGGCAGTTTCACCACTCTGGTGCTGAGGTGCCATTGGTGGCCTGCAGTGTCCCATTGCCCCTGGGGGATAAGCTAGGGCCAACTACAGTGGCTGAGGTACTGCTTCTGGGGATATTTCTCATTATTTACTCTCAGGTCTCTGCAGAACAGTTAAACCACCAGGTATACCAGATTAGAGACAGACTAGGCTCCTCTTCAGACCAGGGGAGATGAGAAGCTGCAGTTTCACCCTTACTGTACTTCCTTCTATGACGCTGGGGAGAAGACAGGCTGCTAATCTTAACCCAGTCACTGAGCTTCCTCCCACAGGGAGTGTGGGCCATCCTGATTTTAGGGGGCACTTTGTGGGGGGGATGATTTATCCATGAGCAGAGTGATACTGCACAAACTGTGTGACAGGAGAGCAGGTAAGGCAGGAGGTGCTGCCCTAGCCTGGCACCTTGGTGTCGAAGGAAACCTCAGGGAAGGAGGGGCTCTCTGACCTTCTCACCTCCGCGGCTGACTAGCTTTCAGACCTTCTTCTGAAGCATGTCTTTCGACCCTCAAGTCTTCTGTTAACCTAAAAGGGAAGAAAATGTCCTCATTTCTGAGGACACAGAAGAATATGACAATACAGACCTGGCTAGTGTCTTAGTTTACCACTGGTCAGAAACCCTTTGTCCAGTCTTACTCCTGCACACCTGCCCACTGTCTATCCAACCTAAAACATAGGAGTTTCCCTGCTTCTTTAGGTTTTCCTTTGTAAAGACTCCTGCATCACACACAATGTGGCAGTGTGATCTCCTCATGTTAATCTGCTTTGTCCTGGGGGCCTTCAGCCACACACTTTCCAATGGACAAAAAGATACTAGTTTTCCTCTTTCACAATGGGAGAACCATGGACTTCAGCATAACATGAGGTCCTGGGTAGGGGCAGTTCCACGACTTCAGTTGGGTGGGGGATTTCTGCCCAGTGAGCTCTCTCCCCAAAGCTATTACAATCCCTGGACTCTGGAATCCTCTGGGTTTTGTGAGCGAGTCAAGTGCTCACTTGGTTTTATGTAGTAAAGGAGAATCAAGTGGAACTCATCCTCTGGGAAGGGCTTCTGTTCTATGAATTGTGATCCAATGGGGCCAAGGAGTCTGGCTCTGGCTCCGGCACAGTGTTGACTTTCAGCACCTAGCAGAACCCTCGGGCACTCATTAGAAGGGCACATTCTAGGGCCACCCAGCCCTAACCCATCAGGGTGGGTACAGGAAGGGCAGGGCTAGTTCTGTCATGAGGAGCTCTGCTAGAGCATTGAACCTAAGGAGCAGCTACTGTGTGGAGCAGGTTCACAGCTTGGCCTCAACTGGGCCACTCCAAATCAGGAAATACCTGCACACCAGGTCCGGGCATGGACAGGTTTGCCAGCTTCCAGAAGCGCTGTCAGATCTCAACCCAGGGCATGCTGTGGGTCAACGGCCCCTGTCCAGGAGCCTGGGTGTCCTCTGACTTAGCAGCCTATAGTGCAGATGGTGTGGGAGCAGGGAGGAGGCAGCTCTGGGACAGTTTAAAATTGTTAGGGACTCTGGGACTTCAGGAGGGGACAGGTTTAAAATCAAAGAGCCATTTTCATACCTTCTGGATTTGAGTCATATTTGAGGCCTGCTGTAGTTTATCATCAAGAATGACCTCCCCTCAAAAATCTGCTGCTTTCAGAGGCAGGGCTTTTGGAAGGTGACTGGGTCATCAGAGCAATATAGCTAACTTGCTGTTAGGCAGGTGGAGTCTAGGTAGAGGTGGGTCACTGAAGGCATGACCTGGAAAGTTCTCTCTCCCTGTCTCCTCCTCTCTCTCTGTGCCTCCTATTCATCATGATGGGAGCAGTTTTCTTGGCCAACCCTTCCACCATGCTGTTTGTATTTTAGCCCACCATGGCTTGCACCTTGTAAAACTGTGGGCCAATATAAATCTCTCCTTTAAATTTTGGGTATTGGGTATTGTGTCTTGATGACTAAGTGACTAAGTGACTAAGACAAGAACTTAGCAGGGAAAATCAGTGAAAAAAAGCTGACCTGAATACAGAGAAGTTATCACTAGAGGATGGGGAAGTGGTGGGGGAGAGTAGATGAGAGAGGCTGTACCTGATTGGTGCATATTGTGTACATGTATGAAGTACCACACCAAAACCCATTAACATGTACAATGAATACATGTTAATCAAACAAATTAAAAAAGGTTAAAAAGCAGCAGAAGTAAGTTCCATCATTCCTTTATATGTAGCTACATCCCCATTAGAATGAAATCACTGGTTCTGGGTGAATAAAACTCCCACATCTAGGGGCAGGGCGGGGGCACACACAGTCTGCACCCAGAATCTTCCTTATCTAACAGGGGCCTTCCACACTTCACCCGGCCACCCTCACAACCTACATGACAGCCAACCACATGCTCTGCTTCACTTTATTTGATACACCAGGTGTATGTGGAGTTTACAAATGGAACTGGCAGTGTGTGCAGGGTACAGACAGCACACCTTGGGTCTGTGTAGTGGGACCCTGAAATGCATGGACCTCAATCACATGTGGCACAAAAACAAACTGAAATTACAGCCCCATGGTGTCCCCACGTGGATCGTGTAAACAGTTAAATTACTAAGTCATTATTTAGATCAAAATTCTTCCATGAAAATGGCACACAAAACATATAAATTACATTTAAAGTCTGTACATGTTTCTTTAAAAAAAATAACAATACTGTGTTCTGTACAATATTGCTTCCTTTTGAATATTCTAAATGCAACAGTTTCCCATGAATCCACAAGAGTAGGCAAAGTACACATGTCATACAATTAAAACATTTCACAAGAATACAAGGATGTACTGGTTTCTGGAAAGGCACATTTTCCTTTAATACAGGGAGCCCTCATTTCAGAAGCCCTTTCCTCCTGGGGATCTGTGGGTGCAGTGTCCTGCTCTGTTCATCTTTAGCTGCTAAAGGGCAAATAAGGCTATAGCAACGGAGGCAGCCGAGAGAAAAAGAGCTTCCCTCACTTTCAAACCTGTGGGTCTCAAAACCCAGGTGCCTCCTTGCCACATTTTGCAGGCCTGCTTCTCCCACAATTCTAAATATTCGATCCATGTACAATACGGAGCGAAGATGCCATCTATTTTTTTTTTTAACAAAGTAATCGCTGCTCATTACCAATCTATCCCCAGGATATATGCAGGCAGCACCAGGGTCACCGCATCTGCTTCTGAGGAGCTCATGCTACTGCGCCCCCACCCGGCTCAGACACTACTGGCTGAAATGACCTCCTGCCCAGTGGGGATCATGGCAGCAGTGTTGAGCATGGACAGCAGACAAGACAGGGGCAGAGCTCCACAGTCTCAGGTTCCTGGGTCTGCCAACCAGCCAACTAGTCTCTGGGCTCTTGTGACTGAGCATCTGTGACTTCTGAAATGTGGCTGAGTCCCTGTAAGTCCCAATGGGGACTTCCCTCCTGGTGTCCTGGGCCTTGTGTGGCCTTCAGGCTTCCAGCTGGACTTGGGCCTCATCTACCTGTAGAGTTTCATTGTCTCCCAAGAGCTCAGTTTCTGGGACAGAGCCTTCTTCCTCCTCCTCTGCTTCCTGCACAGGGCTTTGGGCCACTTCTTCTGGGATGTTCTGTGTATCCTCGGTGCCCTCAGACAGCAGGGCTGCCCTGTCCGCCACAGACGTGTTAGAGGGAGCTGTGGTGACATAGCCCGTGCTGGTAGAGCCACTGCCACTGTGGTGTGAGCTGGGCTTGGGGACCATCTGAGGGGGTACCTGCTGAGGAGCCATCTGCATGGGGATCTGGACTGGGTAGAAGTTGGGCAGGTAGGCCCCATAGGCCGTCATTGGCTGGTAGCCATTAACGGGAATGTAGAGCTGGGGTGGGGGTACCATGGGTCTGATCTGGCCCTTCATGGGGATGAACTGGGGCTGTGGGAAGGGCTGGGCCTTCTGCTTGGGCCCCACATAGCGGGCATTGCTCACATTGCTCACGGGACTGGTGCTCAGTGAGCTGGTCTGTGTGGTGTTGCTGGCCCCAGAGGTCTGTGCTGAGCTGTTATAGTTGGACAGGTTGCCCCAGGCCCGGAGCCGGCTGTGGATGTCCTTGAACCGGGGCCGCCGACTAGGGAACTCATTCCAGCACTCGATCATGAGGGCATAGACCCAAGCAGGGCAGTCGTCTGGGCACGGCAGCACCTGGCGGCCACGGATCATCTCCACCACATCCTGGTTGGAGTACCCGCAGTAGGGCTGCAGGCCGTAGCTGAAGACCTCCCAGAGGACCACACCATAGGACCAGATATCTGAGTCAATGGAGAACTTGCCATACATGATTGCTTCAGGGGACATCCACCGGATGGGCAGCAGCGAGTTCCCCATCAGTTTGTAGTAGTCAGCAGAATATACCTCTCGGAAGAGGCCCAGGTCTGAGATCTTCACCGCTAGCTTGTCATACACCAGCACATTGCGGGTGGCCAGGTCCTTGTGGACCACATGGTGGCTAGACAGGTATTCCATCCCTGCAGCAATCTGCGCCACAACATGCACGAAGTCAGCGGGCTCCAAGGCAGACTTCACAGTACGGTCATCATCAGTGCTGCCCACATCTGAGTGTGGTGAGCGCATGACCAGGAACTCATGGAGATCACCATGCGAGCAGTAGCTGAAGATCATGCTGAGGGGCTGGTCCTTGGTCACGACACCCAGCAGACAGACAATGTTGGGGTGCTGTAGCCGTGCCCGCAGCATGGCCTCATGACGGAACTCCTCCCGGAGCGGCCCCTCTGCTTTGTCCTTCAGCGTTTTGATGGCCACTGCCTGGGTCTGCTCACTTGGAGTAGACCCAAAAAGATGACCTTTGTAGACTTTCCCAAAGCGGTCCTCCCCCAACTCCTCCATGAACCGCACTGCGGACAAGCTGATCTCCTTGAGTTTGGCCTGCAAAAAGAAAAGATCCAAGTTAAGCCCTTCTGTTGCCTCATCTTGGGAAAGAGGAACAGACAGCTGGGAGAGTCCCCAGAAGAAAGAGTTTATGCCACCACTGCCAGCTTGGTCCTGTAGAAGGCCCCCATATCCTGCCCAGCCCAGGCTTCCCAACTCTTCCCACTGTTTCTTCCCATCTGAAACCTCCCTTGTTCTCAACCAGGCCGCTAATTAGGCAGCTCCAAAATGTGGCTGAGACACCACCACAGACTCCCCTCCCACTGGTGTGTGTGAGTGTGTTCACATTTGCACAAACATATCCTGAAGCCAAGCCTGGGCCCCTGTCCCAAGGATACTCTCTTCAATTTTCCTCCCACAACTTAGAGCGATGCACTGTCCTTTTCTTTCTTTTTTGGCACCGGGGATTGAACTTGGGACCTTGTGCTTGAAAGGCAGCACTGAGTCCACGCTGTTCTTTTCTTATGGACATTTTATTTTTCCCAATTTTGTGATTTTTAGAGCTTAGCCCAGCTGTTCTCCAGAGCCTCCCTCAATAAACCAGTCCTATGGTTTCCTCTGAATTAGATTCTCAGCCCAATGCAATTTGGCCAAAGAACTACGCAAGTGGTGTGAGACTTCAGGGTCCTGCCACTCAGCCCCCACAAGGCCTGTTCCTTTTATGCAGCTCACCCTCTTCTTTCTCAGAGCCCTGCATTCCAGCCCAGGTGGTGAGGGTGTGGTCTATGTCCTTCAAAGCCAGCTCTGACCTACAGCAAACACTCAATGACTTCCTAATGGAAGAGCTGACCAGATGGGCTGGCTCCAACCACCCCTGTGAGTCAGACAGGAAATATGTCCTCAAAGCCTGCAGTGAGTATGAACTCCCTTCCACAGAGGCTGGAGAGGCAGCAGCCCACCTTCTCATGCACTGTTTCAGTGTCGCCCCACCTGGTTCCCCACCACCATGAACTCTCAGAGTGGGAACAGCCTGCCTTTAAAGGTGGCCCATCTTTCCAACTTCCATCTGGAAATTGGTACTCTATGCTTCCCTGAGAAACAAAACAGAGCAAAACTAACCTGACCAATAGCAGACCAGAAACCAGATCCTAGGTCCTTATGAATGCGACAGGAAGCTGCCAGCTATAGGCCAGTATGAGATATCCTGCTTTCCTGCACCATCCTGTGAGTATAACTGAGGCACCTGACTATATGGACAGCCTGCAAGGCCATGCAACAGCCTGGCTTCCCTAGGGGAAGAACCCATGTTGGATTCCAAATATGCCTGCCACTTATGTTTTGGAGAAGCAATAGCAAAATGAAGGGCAGTTTAGGGCTGGGGATTTGGCTTAGTGGTTCCGCCACCTGCCTTGCAAGCACAAGGGCCCGAGTTCGATCTCTGGTACCAAAAAAAATCCAAAAAACAAAACAAAAAAAAACACCCAAAACAAAACGTAAACAAACAAACAAACAAACAAAAAACAAAATGAAGGGCAGTTTAAAGAATCACATGTTATGGTGAGAAAAACTCAGAAACCTAACATCACAGGTAACCAGTCCCCAGGCTTCAGCCCGGAGGAGCCGGCTGGCTGGAATGCGCGCACAGGGTGACCTGTTTGTGCTGGCTGATGAGCGGAAGCTCCATGTCCTGGCTGGGCGAGGCCATCAGCTGACGCCGTTGAGGGGCTAATCCAGAAGCCTTCTGCTTATTCCGGCACACGCAGACCAAGAAGAACAGGCAAGCAATGACCAAGGGAATTGCAATGCTCGGTACCAGGATATACAGAATTCCCATCTTGCTGCTATCTTGGGGACCTGCAAATAACAACAAGCCTTCTGTGTCTTTTTAGTAAACATCCTCTTGCCAACTCTAATTCTCACCACCTGCCCACTTTCCTTCTCCAGACAAAATACTTCGGTGTGAGTGGATAACCGCACATAAATGGGCAAAATGGCAACCCAACCTTAGAAAAACGTAATTCATGAAAAAAGCCACATCTTTCTATAGATCAACAGGACACAACCCAAACCACCTGTCATGGGAAAAGATTGCAGTGTGCAACATGAAGTGCAAGTGAATGCTAGTAGTCTTAATACTAACAAGAACCATATCCACTGTTCTTTCCCGATGCCTGGACACCCAGGGAATAGATGTTCCATTCCAGTTCCATTTCCAGAGGGTCCTCTCAGCTATGGAGCTGCTGAGATAGAATAAACACCTGGGACACCCTGGTCCTTGGGGGGGTACTGGGATTAGAAGTGATCTTGTTCTCTTTCAACATTTTGATTGTTGTTTTTACATGTTTGTATAACGACAACATTTTTAGGGTAATTAAATATACATTTGATTTAAAAGAGCAGAGGGAGGCCATGATTCTGCCCCCTTACAACATTCTATAGGGGCAAAGTTCTTGAAAAGCCATGCATACTGAGTCCAAGGTTTCTTCCTGGCTATTTATTTATTTATTTATTTGTGCAGTGCAAATCAATGCTTTGTCTCCCTCTACAGGATTTACAGAAAGTTGCAGAAGGGCACAGGGATCCAGGCTGACCTACTGCTGGCCAGGACAGGCAGAGAGCTGGCCTCTGAGGACTACTCAGCCCCCTCCCTCCTGGTTACCTCCTTCCCATGGGCCCTCAGCTTTCCAAGCTCTGCGTCCCAGGAACGGGTGGTGGGACTTGAGGCTTGCCCCTCTTCCTCACCCATGGTGGAAGGTGGATGCTTTAGGGGACCACATCTCAGTTTCCCTGCATAATCCCAGGCGTTCTATTTTCCTCTTGACCCTATAAATTATTACAGAAGACTTGGATGACTCTGTGACTGAACTCCCATTTGGAAGCACACAAATCATTTCTGGCCAATGTGATAGCCAAAAGAGCGGCTTCCATCTAAGAATGAGCACTCTTGTGCCAGCCCTGCCTTCCAAAATACGATGTGTAAAACCACATACAAAAGTCTCTCTATCCCCACTCAGCAACTAGCCCTGGGAGGGTTCAGGAAGCAGATATTCCAGAAGCCTCAAGGAGGCAGAGCCCACACTCTGGGTCATTCTTTATTTTTAGGGCTCCGAGGCACTTCAACGCTCCTCATGCCATGGCCAGAACTTGAGTACCAGCTACACAATTATAGGGGCTTCTGCTTTATTATCATTTAAAAAAATTATTAACACATGATAATTTGGAAAATAGTATAACCGAAATGTGAAGTATAAACAGTGAACATTTCTAATGACCTTTTCATCTAAGTCTATCTATCACACTGTGAATAGATTGGTACTCAATTTTTTATATGTGTTTTAGGTTGAACTACACAGACTAACTAATATTTAAGTATCTTGAAATACAGAAACAATAGTTTTATGTGGTGTTTTACAACAGAAATTTAAATAAGACTTCATTTTAACAAAGAACTGTTACGTATTTCCAGTTTCTACTTGGGGGCAAAATAAAATATTTTGGACATTTCACAGTCAAACAAACAGATCTGTGGATTCATTTACAGGGCATACTAGTTCCCAGGATAGATATTCTAGCTCAACCAACCTTCTGTCAATAAACAGTCTGTTTTGTATTCAGCTCTCACAAGAAATCCTGCAAAAAAATATCCTCGTATTTCTGACTTGTAATTGCAACATAAAATTCCAGGAATTTCCAAGTCAAAGAACCTAGATATTTTTCTGTTTTATTTTTAATCACAAAATTACTGGCTGCTCATTAAAATTGTATTTTAACACTTCTGTAAATCTGGTGAAGCTGGTGTTAAAAAGTTTGGTGTACATCTTTCCAAAACTTTACCATGAAAACCTAATGTCTGTGTGCTGTCACAAATATATATTTTCACCCATTCTGTTGTCTCTTATCAAAGCAAAATAAAAAAAGTGGCATCAATATAGCTTTTGCCCTAAAACCTGCTTTTTTCCCTAGCTGAGCACCATGGACCTCCTTGCTGGAAGGAAATAGTTTTAAAGGGCTATAGTGCTCTGGGGGAGCTAGATGACAATTTAACTGCCAAAATTTTTATTCTTATTCTGCAGTGAACACACATCCTTGAAGATGTGTGTATGTGTGTGTGTGTGTGTGTGTGTGTGTGTGACTGTCACAAATATATATTTTCACCCATTCTGTTGTCTCTTATCAAAGCAAAATAAAAAAAGTGGCATCAATATAGCTTTTGCCCTAAAACCTGCTTTTTTCCCTAGCTGAGCACCATGGACCTCCTTGCTGGAAGGAAATAGTTTTAAAGGGCTATAGTGCTCTGGGGGAGCTAGATGACAATTTAACTGCCAAAATTTTTATTCTTATTCTGCAGTGAACACACATCCTTGAAGATGTGTATGTGTGTGTGTGTGTGTGTGTGTGTGTGTGTGCAAGCACGCACATGCATGTATGTGTGCACGAAGGCAATGTCAAATTTAGAGCTGTCGAATTATACTTCATGAGGGTTAATAAATAAATACTCATGTGTACGGGCTGCACAGCAAGGCTGAATGCAAACAACCTTATGGGAGGAGGCTTCCAGGTGCACAGGGGTCTTGATTTGCTCCACAATTGAGGTTTCCTATCAGTGGCCTCCTAGTCCTAGCTAAGTCTCCAATTACCCACCAACAGGAGCTGGTGACATGGATTTGACTGAACTCAGTGGTAATAACTGCTCACATTTCCAATGCTAACTACACTCTTTTCCTATTCAAGTCATAACAGAGACACCTGCAGGGAACATTATGAAATCTGAATCCTATTTTCTCCATACGCTACCAAGTCTACAGATAAAAGCTGAGAAGCAGTGAAAAGCTAAGAAGCTGGTGTGTGTGTGTGTAGAGAGAGAGAGAGAGAGAGACCTATGTGAATTCTGGGAGACACTGTGCAATAATGTCAATGGAGGGAGAAAGACAACTGGCTACACATCCCAGGTCCCACATAGGAAAAGGGCCAAGTTGCAAACACTGGTCACTGCTAGATGGTGAATTTAAACATAAGTCTTTAGACTGTTCTACATTTTTAAGACATTTATAATGATCTGATATTACTTTCATAACCAGAAACAATTTCATTTAAAATAAGCAATCACAAAGGTAAGATGAGGGCCCTATGGTTCCCAGCATACCAGGCCCAGACAAAATGCTCTTATCACAGGCCAACTCAATAGTCAACATGAAAAAAAAAAGAGAGAGAATACATACTACAGGAGGGTACGTCACACAGTTCCATGCGTACGTTTTTATTCTGCGTAAAGCACCAGGGACCTTCCATCTGGCCTCCAGGGTTCCGGCAGTAGGCGTGACCCCCTCCGAGCTCGGGGAAATCTGCACTAGACAGCTGGTGGCTGTGAGGATGTTGTAGGGCCCATGGCTGGCACTGGTGTCCTGACCTGGTGATGCTGGCTGTACCTCTGTAATCCGAGCCGGAGCCATTGTAGCACTGGTGGTCTAAAAAAGCAGGCATGTTAGGAGGCCCAAACACAGGGGACAGGGCCCACCTGGAGCTAAGAGCTCACCTCCCTTGATTATTCCAGAGAAGAACAACAAAAACACTTTGCCTGTGTGTATACAACACCGAACTTCCAAAGAAACAAAGTATTTTGCATAATGTCCAAGAAAAGCAGCATTAAAGGTAATGACTTAACAAAGCCCCAAGCCTACAAATGAAACTGAGGGCTCATTAGAGGAAGGAAGCTGTCCAAAGTTACTCTTGTTCCTGAAACCCCCATGGCACCCAATAGACACTGCACTCCACTGCCCGAGTCAGAATGAGGATGCTGGCACCATCAACCTCATGCCCACTGGTTCCAGACACAAAATCGAACTACACAAACAGGAAGGGCCATTCTAGGCCAGGCCCAGCAGGTCACCTGCAACCCCCAGTGGGAAGCCTGGCTCAGTCACCACCCCACTGCCACAGGGGAACCCAGGACTGAGGATGCGCATTTGTTGGACAATTACAGTGTATTTACCCTGTGTGTGGTTCTAAGCCTTGTCTAATTATTAACTCGCTTAATCTTCATTCCAACTCCACAAGGTCAATCCTGTTGTTTTCCCACGGAAGATGATAAAAATAGGAGTTTAAGCAACTGTCCCAGGGTCACAGTGTCGGTCAGCCCTGTAGCCAGAATTGAGGCCAGGCTGCCCTGGTAAGGCGCACTGCCTGAGAGGGAAGCCCCAGACCCGCTGCAGAAGCTAAACACAGCCCAGAGCCTGAGGAGGATTGCAGCATTAGCCGGGCTCTAAGCCTTCACGGGGCTGGCAACCCAGAGTGAGCAGTTTTCCTCAAAGATGACTTCTACCCTGACTGGTCTCAGCCCACACTGCCAGGGCAGGGCAGAGAGCACATCTCCTGTCCTTTAGAGATTCTGAAATGGCCATGAACAGGCCTCGGCTCAGAAGAATGAAGTCCCCATTGGATCTGTGAAGTCTCATTGCTGCAGGGCCAGGTGTCTGAGGTGGGGACCACACAGATCTCTGCTGATGTAGATGGCTAAAGGTCCTCCTGACTTCTCACTGTGCACTGCATCCGAGACTCAAACTACAAAGCTAATGATCTTCCAGGTTCCCAGAGACAGTGCCCAGAGGTCTGGGACAGGGCCTGGGAGTCTGTATTTTCCCAAAGGCAACCCCAGAGTGCTGTGGACCATTAGGCAAGCTGGGGTGCTGGCCCATCCTCTTCCTGCACCCAGCATCCTTCTGCAGCAAAAACTAAGATTACTCTGATTTTGGAAACTCAACACCCCAGGCTCAAGGGCCCCAAACTCAAGTCTCCCAAATTCACAGAGACAGAAAAGCCTCCAGATTCCCTTTCGACATCCCTGTGGGATGGGAGCCTGGGATGTGGATTTCAAGGAGCCCCAACACCCTCCCTCCAAGGGGATCTGAACCAAGGAGCACTCACATCGGCCAAGCCTCTCCACTGGGATGCCGATGCGCATACAGTTGGCAGCATCTGGGGTCTCAGGCATGGGCAGCGCCTCACACTTGGGCAGCTGCAGCCGCATGAGGATGAGTGGGTTGGAGCGTGCGATCGTGTACTCCTGGCGGCACAAGTCACTTTCCAGCACCTCGCATTCATCTCGGCACAGCTCACGTGGCTTGGGTGCCCGAGAGCGAGAATCGCACAGCGGGAACACGAAGTGGCAGAAGGATGGGATGGCGAATTGGGAGCACTGGTCTGACAGGTGTGTGGAGGTGCCAATCATGGTGAAGGCCGCTGTGGAGGAAATCAGGACCTCTGTTGAGTGAATGGCCACCCTGTACCCCCAAACCCCACCCCTGCTCCCAGGACAACCTACTCTGTGCTCCCTGATCTGGCTTCCTCCTTTACTAAACCACTCTGCAGACCCAAGCTGGAGACACTGGCAGTTCAGAAACCCTACTATAGACTCCTTGGACTCAGAATCGCATTCCCACAGCTAGGCCTGTACACATCTCACTTCATAATCAAACTCCCCTGAAGGAGGCCCCCAACCCTGATTCACCACCGTATCCCAACCCCGGAACTCCCAATCCCTGGACTGTCTCCCAACCCTGAGCCCTGATCACCCTTCCCCAAACTTCCTACTCCCTCCACTCAGTCCTGAGCACCCTGCCAGGAGCCCAGAGTGGAGACCTAATTGGCTCCCAGGGCAGGTCCAAGACACCCATTATCTGCTCTGATCAGCAGCAGAAACAGAAGGCTCTGGGTTTGCTTACAAACCTCCTAAGAAGAGGAAGGAAGGAAAACCTGGCCCAGCACCTCCCTTGGCTGACCCTACCTCCACTTCAAGAAGGGTCACATTTCACACCCAGAAGCCATTTCCCAGAGACTCAAAGGAGTAGGAGGGTCTGCAGGCACAGGGCTGAGGAGCCTGGGGCCACATTTTCCAGCCCTCCCCGGGGATACAAAGGTGTGTAGAGGAAGGGGACTCTGCTCTGAGATACAGCTGGAGGGCAGTGTGACAGGAGGAAGGGCAGCTGGTGAAAAGGATAAGCACCATGGAGTGGCAGAGGTAGCAAAGCAGGGAGGGCAAGATTATGACTGGATGAGTTTTGTGATAGTTTGGGATCAAGAAACCACCACCAGCAGGAGGCATAAGAGTCCAGGGATCAGAGGAGGGAGTGTGCTGGGGATATTCCAGGTGATGGGAGGCTTTGCAGCTAGGCTGGATGCACACACTGGTGAGGGAAAGGTGCTGGGAAAGACCAGCAGTGATCAGCAGCAGACCACTACCTTCCTTTTACTTGCGGAAGACCTACTAAAGAGAGGTCCTGGGGCTTCCCAGATCCAATGTGCTGAGCCAGGGTCAGCCAACAAGTGGTCCCACCATTTCCAATTATTCCCAGGAGACCCACTCAGGCATCAGTGGGAGCAGCTGGTGAGGGAGCAGGACTTGTATTACTAAGTCATAGTGACAGCTGGTCACTCAGTCCTTTCTGGGCCTGTTTCTTTATCTGGACAGTGATTTGTTGAGACCACATGTTGGGAAATCAAAAGTTCCCCTAATGCCTATGAAATGGGCCTGGAGGTGAAGGGGTGTAGGAGCCAGCTGGCAGGGTGTGGTGAAGGGTTGAGGGGTGCTGGCCCTGCCTGTGCATCTGCTGGAAGTGCTCTATTCACATCCTCTTTAACTCTTGGGGTTCTTTCTAGCAAGTACTGAAACTGAAGGTATGAAGCTAGGGTACAAGATGTTTGGGATTTGGTGGAAGAACTGAGGTTTGAACCTCTGGCAATTAAGAGAAGGCTGTTAGAAATGTTGGCCTTGACTTCAGGAAGCAAAAGATTAAGAAAGACAAATTAGGCTGCGATAGTTGATTTGATTGTGTTTTTTCAGAGGAGATCCAGTCTTCGCCTTCAGCTTGGATGTTGTCTCCTGGATTCTAGTAGATTCTTCAGCCTTTCAGAGCAGACCCTTTGCACAGGACACTACATGGAGCTCCAGGGCTTACAGTGGATCCTCAGATCCCTAGTGTACAGAGAGACCTTTTGCACTCTTTCACACCTGACTCTGTAAGCCAATCTCGTAAATCCTTATATATTTGTATGTCTTGTATTAAATTTGTTTCTCCAGTAAGTACTGGCTAGCACATCAGCCTTTTCCATGGGGCAATCAGCTGAGAAGATGCCACATAGGATTTCTCTTCCTCCTCCAAATGTACCATTCCTGAAGAGGGTTCTAGCCACCTACATCCTATAACCCATGCCTTTGTCTTCATCCATTCCCTGAATGTCAGGCAACATTCTCCAAACAAGACATTGCCATATGAAGGAAATCTTTTATCTGCAGAACAGAACTCAAGTCAGTCTAGAGTGATTCCATATTTATGGGGGAGGGGAGTGTTCTGGCTGAGCAACTCAGAGATAGGGTACTTGCCTAGCATGAGTAAGGGCCTGGGTTCCAGGCCTAGCACCACATAAAAAAGTAATAAATAAACCACAGATCGAAAGAACCCTCATTCTAACATCTTTCTTTCAAAACTGCTATAACATCAGGCTGCTTGGACATCTGAGTTATCTGATCCTCTAAACGCTGCTGAAGAAATAACTGAGGTCAATCTCATGGCTGGAATCAGCATTTGCCAATTAGCAGGACATCAGATTCATTCTGGAATCTGTGGCTAGCATCATAAAGGACGCTGAGAACAGACTCAAGCACGTTGGTGTGCATGGTTTGCAGCAAGTGCCACAGCTTTTTCATCAACAAAAGAGAAAAATACAGGTGTATTCTTTTAGGAGTGGGTATTATTCCTCATGACCTATTTTGGTTCTGGAAACACAAATCAGTATGCACAGGTTGAGTCCCTTATCTGAACTGCTTGGGATCAGCAGTATTCTGCTCTGGGGACATTTTCATATTCTGGAATATCTGTACATATTTAATATGGTGTGCTGACGGGGGGCACTATATCTAAACCCAAAATTCATTTATGTTTTATACACCTCATACATAAAGTCTGAAGTAATTTTATAAAATATTTTCAATCATTTTGTGCATGAAACAAGGTTGTGTATGCCAAATCATTAGGTTCCACTTATGGCACCAGGTTAGTACTGAAAAAGTTTCAGATTCTAGAGCATCTCAGATTTTAAAGTTTTCAGACTAGGGGAGCTCAATTCTCAACCTCTATTAAGTCGTGATATGAAGTATACTTTTTGTACTTTTTATTGAAATGTTGGGGTCCAAAAGGTTTAAGAAATTCTGCTCGGGGCAAAACAATTTTTTTTTCTGGTGAGAGAGAGAAACATTTCCAAAACAGGGTAATGGTAGATCAGGATGACACCTTCAGGTTCCTGTGCCTTATTACCACCTTCTTACTCCTCCAGACCTCAGGGCCCTGTCCATAGAGAGTGCTGTATAGTCAGGCTGTTGGTGACCATGGCCTTAGATCCTCCAGTCAAGGGTGAGCTGAATCTAAAAGGTCACATCAATGACACAAATGACTCTCATTCCACCCTTACCAGGGCAGTGTACATCAGCCCTTCTGCCCTAATGCCTTCCCCGGGGAGCTTTGTCATGAAGATCTCCACTGATTCTACATATAGGTCAAGAGCTATCATGGGGAGAACCCAACTAATCTGAGGTTCTGGGGCACCTTCTATCTTCACGAGGTTTTTCTGGTTCCTTAAGGGGTCTGGGGAAAAGGTGTGTTTGTGGAGAGGATAGGGACAGGAGGATGAGAGCGAGCCCTTCTCAGGACTTTGGTCTAATTCATTTTTTCTTTTTTCAAACTTTCCAAGGGCTTTCTGCCAAGGAAAATGCTACAAATACATACTAGTTGGTTCACTGAGCAAACATAAGAAGTTAAGGCCTAAAGTGACTAAAGATGAACACCCCATTTTCTAAATGACTTGCTACATTTTTCAGACACTGAGTAAGGTATCCAAAGCTCTGGCTTTGCTCTCTGGAAACTAAGGACTGACTGTCTGCACTCACCACAGCGTCCCTGACTGCAATGACTGAAATCAGGTCTGAGTTCTTTTGGAGCAAAGATGGCTCTGAGACAGTCCAAGAATCAGGAAATGCAGCATAAAAATGTGAAACAGAATGACTGTGGCCAACCCAGGACAGGAGGCCCAAAAGTTGCAGTGAGGACCGTAAGTGAAGATGGTACTTTGGACCCACAGTTTGGCCGTAGTAAGAGCACAGAAGTGTATTCTAAGCAATCTGCACTTGCTAATTCCTATGGTTGGAATGGGGCTGTGGCTGGGGTGTTCAGGAGTTGGGGCACAGTTCTGAGTATGGCAAGACTAAGAGGTGGTAAGGCCTAGTGGGAGGTTGTCATGTCTTGTTCTCATGAAGACCTGGTTAGTTAGTGCAAGAAGGTTATTACAGAAGACAAGCTGGGGCCCTCTTGAGCTCCTCATGCTTTCTGTCCTGCCAAGTGACCTCTCTTTCTCATATGTACTCAACCATGATGTGATGGAACCAGAGGTACCTCACTAGAACAGGTACCCTGCTGTTTGGACTTTCAACTTCTAAAACTGTGGGTTCAATAAACTTCTATTCTTGATAATGTACTGATCTTCAGTTATTGTTAGTAGTAACAGAAAACAGATTCATACACTAATTGAAACATAAATTAGAAATATTTTAGGGCAAATCACATTAGTAATGTAACTGCTTTTGACAAAGTTCTCTGATTTTCTACTGCAAGGAAGATGGACAAGGAACTTGCTATCTGTGGCACTAACTGATCAATGGCACAAGTGGTGACTGTGTGTACAGACAGTGGCCTGAACATGTGCTTGTGGTTTCATGAAAAGGGTCTATGGCTCTCACCTGTAATTCGGTTCTCAATCTCCCCTTGCATCTGGAGAGAGTCTACATAAATGGTCCTGTTCCCAATGAAGCGTGCACAGGCAATTCCTCGGTAAGGCTGGCAGAATCCATCTTCCTGGTAGTCATCCCTGGTAAAAACACAAAGTCTCTAAGTGTGCCGCGAAGTGCCATGTCTTCCTGATTTTTTTTCTCCAGCATGCTACAATTCAACCATTTTGTTACTTGGCATTTATCTAAATGAGCTGAAAACTCAAATCTACCCAGAAACCTGCACATGGAGGTTTAGAGCAGTTTTGTTCATAATGCCAGAACATGGAAGGAATCAAGACACATTTCAGTAGGCAAATGCAGAAAAAATTTTGATACATCCAGGCAATGGGCTATATTCAGCACTGACAAGAAATGAGCTATCAAGTCACAAAAAGACAAGGAAGGAATTTCAATGCACATTACTATCTGGAAAGGTTATGTTCTGTATGATTTGAACTATGTAATACTCGGGAAATGGCAAAATTATGGAGACTGAAAAGATCAATGGTTGCCGGTGGTTCGGGGGAAGGATAAATAGGAGTATAGAAGAGTTTTAGGGCACGGAAACTACTATGAATGATACCAGATTGGTAGATATGTTCAGTGTACATTGGTCAAAATCTACACAAAGTAAACCACAGAGAGTGAACCCAAGTGTAGCTTATTGAGTTTAGCTCACAATAATCTTCAGTATTGGCTCATCAATTATAATTTAACAGAGTTTGTGAGGAGAGCAGGAAGTACAGGGAACCATGAAACTTTCTGTTCCATTTTTCTGCAAATGTAAAACTGCTCTAAAAAGGAGCCCATTGAAAAATTTTTTTTAATATATCTTTAAGGCACCAAAAGACTCCTTACTAGTGAAGATGGGTTGTAAGGTACCTTCTGTGAACATACAGACTGTTGTTACACATGTGCACAAAACACACACAACTAGGAATAAGAAACATTTCTTCTTACCCTTAAGTCTACACCAGAGACATTACAGTGCATCCCTGTAAACCTCCTGCACTCACAAAGATTTTATAAAAATGATAATCCATAAGGTGTGTCCTATCATTACATCACAGGACAGAAATCTTTGAAAAGGAGAAAAGCAATACACAATGTATCTTCTACCACATTCAAAGGCAATGGAGATATTCCAGAAACTCTGGCCCTCATGGTCTTGCAAGATGAGATGCACATTTAAGACATGTGGAGATGTGACCTGGCTTCCAAAGTGAGCAGGGATCAGATGCTGCACACAGCGGGGGTCTGAGAGGAGTTCGTGACAACAGGATACTCTCTTGTTTTGTAGTCCGCCCTTTCTGGTCCCGTGGGGACAGCCTGCACTGACATGAAAGGGACCTCGTCCTCTTCCAAATACCCAGGCAGGAAGCTGTTATAAAATCTCTTTTGCAGAACCTGCCAGTTCTGTTTAAGCCAGTAAAACCACCCTACAAGTCCCCAGCTATGCTGAACAGTGGCCCTTGGGGCAGCGTTCAGGACTGCCATTTTCAGGGGCAAAATGGAGGGGCTGGGTTCCTGGGATGGCATCTGCTGGGTCTCTCAGACCTGTACTTCAGTAGCTTATTTTCTAGCAAGTCTGGAGCCAAGCACATTGGTTTGAACACTTGTCTTGTGTCATCTGAAGGTGGAAATTAGTTCCATGGGACATATGGGTGGTGTTCAATTTACACAAATGGACTTACGCTCTCAGTCAAAGCTGTCACAAAGGCTGGACACTTGCAAGAGACAAAGGATCCCACTGACAATCTCTCTTTTGTGCTTCCCCACTCTGCTATCTTCTCAAATCCCCAAAGAAAGGTCTTTTTTCAAAGAAAATAACTTTCAGCCATCAATAATCTAATTAGGGGCTTTTGGTGTCCGCATGAGGGGGTTGTCTTTCTGTCAGTCTCACTAGTTGCTAGTTCTTTGGAGTCCTTAAATGTAGTTTCAAATAGGTAAGCACAAGTGTGAGCCCCATCTGTACCCCCTTCAACTTCTCTGAGCCAAAAGCACCAACAGAGACGATGTGCCTATACCCTGACGTGTGTGGCAGGGTCACTATGCCAGAAAAATCACTGAGATGCACATGGCTGGATAATCACACATGAGCTATGACCATAATGTGAGACTCCATTCACTTGGGGTGAACCCACGAGGAGCGATTTCTCCTTTTCCCTGCCAGAACTCGGGGAAGAGGCAGCCGACTCTGGATGCAGGCTACTCCCTCGGCCCTGTCTGAAGCCACAGGGTGGAGAAAGCAGTAGGAATACGGGGCTGCTAAGAAGGGACTCATTCCCTCACACTTTGCCCCCAGTGCATACCTCTCTGTGGGCTTTCAGCCTGAATTTTAGAGAATGTATAAAACACTGCACAAGACTAGTGGAAAGATATCCCTTTAGGTTTTTGAGTTTTAGAATATAAATTTCTATTTTCTAACAGAATTATGCTTTATCTTCATTCAAGTTGAAAACCCCTGCCTTTCTAATGCTGCCCTGATGGAGAAGCAGCTTCTGCACGAGGAGGTTATGTTAAGGAGGAAAGGGGTAAATGCCTGTAATAATGGGTAAGAAGACTTAACAGGAGAGGGGCAGGAAGATGGGGCAGGCAGGAAGGAGGGGTCCTGCAATAGAGAGAGTTTCTCCACAAGGGCTGAGAATGTGGGGGTGCTGATCCACAACCTCCCTACCGTGTGCATGCTGAAAATAAAAATCAGCAGAAGTGACGCTTGGATCAATTCATAGAGAGAAATAATGAGATTTAAGGGAAACAAAGTCTCATTTGAAACTGAAAACTTATCAGTGTCAACATTCAAATGTAGTTACATATTGCATAGGAGTTGAACATTTTTCCCGCAGAGCAGTTTTTTGTTAAAAAGTAGTAAAATCATTTTCATAATTGTTCTTCTTTGGAGGGATTCTATCCATAATAAATAGGCTGCCTGCTCCAGCAAAGCAGAAGATGTAGCACCTTCCACAGAGAGGGAAAACAAAAGAGGACAAAGAGCAATTCACAAAGCTCAGAAAGCTGAAACCGCAGAAGCTCAAAGGAGTCTAATAGTAATCTAATGTACTGTGGAAACAGACCCCACCACCCTTCTCAGGCGCATGACAACATCCTGAGCAATGTCACAACAAAAGGGGAAACTCCACAAGGACAACTGGAAAAAGTAGTACCTATGCCTAGAAATCATCTGCACTAAACAGAACAATAAGTGAAGAAACTGAAGAGCAGACAATCCTTGAGGTCACTCTGCCCTAGTGGACATCTGTAGAACAACTCCCCCAACCAGAGCAGGATACATAGCCCTGCATTAAGTAGGGAACTTCTTAGGACTCTCCAAGAAAACAAAAAAGTCCAAGAGATATTAAAGTGGCAATTTAAAAAAACTGGAACACCAACATCAGTGTACCTGAATTTGCTACTGTTATGCAAGACAACAGCACTGATCTTAGAAACACTGAAACATTAAGGGGTGTTTTTACTTACTATGGGGATTTAAGGAGAGCTTTGAAAACAAAACGTATCCAAAAAAATTAGCACTGAGGGAAAAAAGAAGGGCTCTTCTCCTCCTTCAGGATGTGCTGGATTGAGTTAAACTTGACAGAGTTGATGGTGTTGTGGATTTAACAAGAATCAAATGCTAAATCAGCCTTTTGCCCAGGTGTGTTCACTCACCAATGGCAAAGACGTCATTTTTAATTACTGGCTTGTCAGGTGGCAGTTTCACCAGTTTTTTTTTTTTTTCTAGACCTATTTTCCTGTAATCAAAGAGTTGGACATAGAAGACACCAAGTTCCCTTCACACAGGCTCAGTGGGTGGTGCCATGTGGGGCACCCCTTCTGTGGTTCACCACATGAGTCTGTAGATGGGGAGATGAGGTGGACTTGGAAATGGTGATTTCAAGTTTGTCAAGAGCACAGAAGATTGGTGGAAGTCTTGGAATCGCCTGGTGTTAAGTCAGAAAATAGAATGGTTCATGACATGGCCCCAAGAAAAGTGATTTCCCATAGAGCAAGAATTAGTATTCAACTGTCCAAAGGAACATGCCTTCCTGACACAGCACAGTATGCATGTTCACACTTGTGGGCTGCAGGCTTGGCCAGGAAACACAGGGCCAATGGGAGCTCTGATGCTGCACCTCCAGGGAGCGCCCACCTTGTCATGCGGCCCCAGCCCATCCCAACTCTGTGTGCTGCACACATGGACAGCCTTCTGGTAGTGAAATGGAGTCATCTGTAATTCTGAGGTGCAGAAACGAAACAAAACCCACCTATGAAATGGGAGACTGTAGCCTGGTATTAGTCCCCTGGACAGGGCCCAAACTACTGCCTGAGGGAGTTAGAGTAACTGTGCTTGGACCTGCACCAATAGGGAAATGCCCTCTCTAGGCACACACCCTCTTTCACCCTCCACTGAACACAGATGCAAGGAAAACAATGCTGTGATGGCTCGCATTCCCTTAGCCTCCCAGGACACCAGACCACACGCTGAAGTTACAGGTACCACCAGCACCCAAGCATGTGGGCCTGAGAGAGCAGTGGGTAAAGAAGGCCCATTCCTGTCAGTCTCAACTCCACATTTACATGTACAGGACACACTGTCTGACCAGTAGGGAAAGAACAGGGACTGTGTGCATTGCTAAACAATGCCACCGGTCCAAGATGGAAGTCCCTGAGCAACTTATTTGTGCATCCCAGAAACACAACACTCATGGACTGTTTTAGCTCTTTTGTCTTTATTTTGATTAACTTTCAGAGATATCATAAACACGTCATTAAAAGGGAGGGGCCAATCTACTTGTTGGATTCTCACATGATATGTGAAAGTTTCTGATGTCTCTTCTCCTTTATAAAAACAACAGTTCTATTAGATCACAGCTATGGCCTTTCTAGCCACATTTAATCTTACTTCTCTATTTCTGATAAAATAAACACATTGCTTAGGGGTTCAACATATGAATTGCGGACATAGGTTAGCCCACAGCGGTAAGGAAGGGGATTTTCTCCTACTTACGGTATTCATACACTACACAAAGCTACACTGTTAGTCTTGTGGTGTTACTTCAGGACCAAAAGCTGTTGGAATTAAATATAGAACCCATTTAAT